CGTTCGGCATCATTTCTTGAAAAGTTTCCTTCCCCATCTTCCAAAGCTCCGTGTCCTGCCACTTGCTCTGATCAAGTGCTACACGGAAGAAGGGTTGGCACGGCAGCAGATTCTCCTCGAGTGCCGTAATGCTTGCGCTGCGAATCTCTCTTCCCAGGAGGGCTCTCTCACCGAAATAATCTGGATCTCCCAACCTGTATCGAAAAAAGGCTAGGCCCTAGGCACGGACAAAACTTTGAGGCATCTGGCATGTCCGGCCGCCGCTTCATGCGCCCATCAATCTCCACGCTCACGGCGCCTTGCGGATAATGTAGAAATGCCTGAAATGCTTGCTTATGTTTCCTTCAGCTTCTGCCTTTCAAGCGGGTTGTCACGATTGAGGTACGCACGTTCCCTGATCCCCTTGCGAGAAGGCCTTTTGCCAGTTTGTAAGTAAGCTATGGCTGATTTGATTGAAAGCAGCGTGTCAATGCTCGCAGCGGTCGCACTTGTTGAATACTCTGGGCTCTGAGCACGTCTACCACTTTGCACGATCTCAATCTCGAGCGCATTTGCTAAGCCTTGTTGTTGCGAGGGTGCAGATCCACAGCCCACAGCGTGTGGCCACATACCTCCTACCCGGTTTCAAAGATCCAAGCGCTGGAGTTGTTGCATAGAGAGCGTGGCAAATATGAAGACTGAACGAAGGCTGCGCACCTCACTGCAAGGCCGAGGATCTTGGTACAGACTTGCGACATGCACAGACAGAACGTTGCCCTGAGACAATCTGAACTGCAAGACCATCACTCTGCTTGCAGAACGCAATACGCAGTGGCTTGTCCCAACCAACTGCTGCAGATCTGCATCAAAGCACTGGCATAAACTAGCACCTAGGAGACCAATGGTCTGCTATGCTCCGATGCTCAGCGCAGAGTTGCGCAACGATATGACGCCCCGATATTGGGCGATGAGAAGTAGAAACCCTTTCGCCTTGTTGTCCTGCTCCTGAGCTCCGTCAAAATCATCAAAGGCCAGGATACTTCCCAGATCCTGTGACCAAGTGAAATCCCTGCAAGCAGGTCTCAAGAACACATTTGAGTTGTCATCCGCATCTCCTCTCTTTGCCAGACAGCCAACTTCGAATCTGCGAGGGCTCTCACCTGCAATGGTGCTTGCCTGAGTCAGTGCAAAGGACCACGGCAGCTGGGAAAGATCGGACCAAGCCAGCGACTGCTCATAGGGAATGCCAAACAAGTCAGACCTTGCTGCTTTTACGCTTCCGTGATGGCAGATGTCTGGGCCAACTGGCATGGGAAAAGCAACCCATGGGCTACTCAAAGGCCTGAAAGTGAGTCATCCTAAACTTTCTAAGGCTTCGGAATTTCTGGCTTACAAGAAGCCCTATGAAGAGCCTCAGGATCAAGGTTAGGTGTTTGGGCTGGTTAGGGGTTCACATGAAGCTTCCTTCTTTGAGAGAACTACTCAGTTGACCTCTTTTGGTTCTCCAAGCCCCTGGGTTGCTCCAAGGCCCCCGCGCGGCACCGAGCAAGCCCTGTGGTCCAGTCTCCAGCTTCCTGGCTGACACGTCAGAACCATAAACTTGCCATCGGCAGTAGACAATCACCATATCGAAGTAGGCTTTTTCAAGTGCAGACTGATAAATCGGTTGGGGGACATGTCACGCTTCCAACCTTCAGCCTGCATAGAAGCACATGGCAGGCTGCTGTGCCAACACTGAGCCCATAACAGTTCGATTTCACCATTGAGGGCGACGATCACACGGATATCCTGCAGCACGGAGGGGCAGCACAAAAGGCCATCTCTAGCAAGTTGAGGAATAGAAGAGCACAAAGTTAGGGAACAATCTATTCATGGTACTGCAACAGTAGGCTTAACCTTGTGGCTGCCCCTTTCAAACTGCTTCCTGTCAGAGATTCATTGCGATCTTCTCCATTGTAGCAAACTAACCTCACTCACTTGCAGTACTGCGGTCGACCAGCTGGGCCACCGGCCTCCCATTTTTGCTCCGAACCTGCTTGTAGGCAGAAAATTGCTGCGGAAGCCGCGCATGCCAGAGTGGTTTGGCCCTGCCTCTGGGCAGGCACCGGATTTGGCAAGAACCGGCAATTGCTTCACGATGCTCTGGATGCAGGCGAGAAAAATCCTCTGCACAAAAAGCTGCAAGGTGCCACCATGCGACAACAAAACGAAAGCAATGGGCCAGCCAACCTGGTGCTTTGCCAACACGTGGAGCACCCGATGTTTCACCAGAACCTGGCGCCACAGTATCATTTCTCAGCTCTCAGAAGCCAAAGCTCAGCCAGAGTGGCACAATACCAACTACCTGAAAGGATGCCCTATCAAAAAGGCCTAGCCTATCGCTTGTCGAATTGGAAGAGCTTCATGAACCCCCAGCTTGCTGTCACTGCAACACAGGCAGATTTCACGAAGCAGCTCCCGACAAGCAGATGAAAACATCATTTGTGTCAGCGTCTTCTTTGCAAGACCTGATCTTCAAGCTCAAACGTCACCATCAGCTGGCAAGATGGCGGCCCCATGGTTCTCACCGTTCCCCTGTCCGTTTTTGTGGACTTCCCTTCGGTAAGTCGTCGCAGAACTCGTCCCAAAATTCAGGCACATAACATCAGGTAACGTTTGCCAGCTGAGATTTGGTGGCAGTCGTGAACACATGCATCGGATGTGGCATCTGGTACGTGCTTGGGCTACCAAAGCAACTGCTTTCAAACGAACACATGGCTAGGATGTGTTGCTTCATGCCGGCGTGCCTGCTGCAGCTGGTCGCCAA